TGGCTGCCGCAGGCCTGCAGGGGAAGGAGGGAACAACAGTGGCTTTATGGACGAAAGGAGCATTCGGCAATTACATTCTTGCAAAGATTGTAAATTATTGATAAAAAATATAGAATGGAAAATTTTTATTATTAATTAATATCCTGGTAATAATATATTATGAATTAATTTCAGAGTGTTTCGTAAATATTATTTGTCTGCATTTTATAATTTATCCGGTCCTACGATAATATATTTGATCTGAACATTAAACAGTGAAAACTGAGGATGAAGAATTTAAACAATATTTATAATTTTTTACCCAGTAAATTTACATATTGGTTAAAATAATTACATATATGTATTTTTTCATGAAATCTTCATCTATACTGTCTCTGTTCAGATGTATAATAAATTCATTGTTTTCGCAATCGACCACATCCTTCTCTCTCTATTCATCCATAATTTTCTCATCGTGCTCCACTGCATTTTTCCAGTTTGTAGTTGACACCTTAAACAATGTAAGTAGAGAATTCATAACACTTTATTGAGTTCAAAATTTGAACCTCATTTTCCTTGTGATAAATGTGTCAATGAATTTAGATAACTAAGATACCTGCTCTAAAACCTGCATCCAAACATTTCTGGCCCTTTCCATTCCCTGGCAAGATCTTGCAAGAGCATTCTTATTGAAGTCCTTTGTCTGAGACCACACATATTCAGTTGGATTGAACATGATATGATACTGAGTAAGCCTAGAAACAGTATGCCCTTCAGGTGCCAGAATTTCATCAACTACACACCTGTGGAAAATTACGTTTTACACTTGAAACAAATTAATTTATAAAATAATTGCTTTAAACATTTTAATAGAATATATGAAAGTGAAAATGGAAATATTAAAATTAAAATGAATGAATAATAATATACTGCATTTACAATGTATCCTGTCAAGAAATATGAATTTTTAAAATGTTCTCAGTTTGCTCAGATTGTTAGCAGTATTGGTCTTATTTCACATATGATACATACATTTTAGACTTGGTCATGGACTTTCTGGCCAGTCTTAATTTCATGTTAATGACACCAGGCCGTGCCGTACATTGACAACAGTTTCCCTCTAGCATCCAGCATGACAGGCCTGTATATTTATAGTTCGTAGCTATGCTACGTGTTTCCTTGGATTTTAATATTCTCGATGCAACAATTCCGTCATTTCACACCCATGTGACTTTTTCGTATGTCACAATATTTTCTGCGTAGTTAATGCATATATATGCATCTTTTTTTGATAATGGTATCAACAATGCTAATTGGCAAAATATGAATTAGAGGTCATTATTGCTTGTAACACATAACTGTAATGCCACATTGATATGACAAATCAATAATGACTTCTGCCTTTTCTTTCGACTTCATGTAAACTAAAATTTTATTTACGGTGCACATTGTGCATGATTGGTACGTTTATGTAGAACGTGAATACACTGAACTCAATGGCAGAAAGCTGTTTTCGTTTAAGTATTTGAATTTAAATTTTTTTTTCACTCTTTCTTTGTTTAAAAATGTTTCAAACGGTTGTTGAAATGTAAGAAAGAAATTGTCATATAATATAACAGAGCTGTTAAAACTATCGGGGGAAAGTACGTGTTGTTGTGGCATCATTAGTTTTTTCTAAACATGCTTCTCTGCAATTGGTAACATAAAAATACAGGGAATGTTTCATCAGAAAGCCACTAAAATGAATTATTAGGGCACTTTTACACTAATAATTGAAATCATACGAACTTTCGTATAAATATTCAATAAATATTGTGTCTGCCCCGCATTAATGTATCCATTTAAAGTATCTTTTCTCGTATGAATAAAGTTTGATCGAGAGATGAAAACTGGTAAGTAGAAGTTCGAAGGCTTTCATAAACCTCAAAGGAAGTGGTTTGACGTGCTCACTCGCAGCATTGCCGCTCTCCCTGCAGAAACCCTGACCGGGAGCTGCTAGCTTTCGACTTTCCGTGGAATTGAGCCCCCGTCTGGAGAAGAATTCCAGCGGCCGTCGGTTCTGAATGGTAGTTTTTCGTGATTCCTCCGATCAATAGTATAGATGAATGCAACGACTACCTTAGCAAACGAACCAAAAATTACACGCGATGTTCCCTTCTACATCCAAGCCCGCTCCTCTTCTCTTACACACAACACTTGCACTTACACGGACTACTCTACCGCACTATTCAGAAGACCGTTGGGGAGCTTAGAGCTTCTCCCAGCTGGGGCGGTGCCCAGCTGGTGGGAGATACCTAGTTGGGAAAAATCCCCGCAAGCTGACATGTAGGTTGCCGCTGCATGTCTTGTTCCGTAGAACGGGGCATCGCGAGAGTTCCTGCGAGATGCCAGTGCAGTGCACTCGACGACCGCTTCAGCAAAGCGAGGCACGGGAAGGGAGACACTGCGCTAACGCTTCAGCCATTGACGCAAAACATCGGAGAGATTATTGGGAGCTAGAAATCGCAGTCGTACAGAAATTTGTTGGGGCTGCGTTAGTAAAATTTGTTTAATTAGTTTTGTTGTGCTTTCTTATACGAAATGTGAATGTAAGTTTTCTGTGTTAAGATTGCCTGTCGAAAAGCTAGGACGTCATGTCTGAGACAGCATTCAGAATTACTCCTCCGTCACATCAGCCGCAAGCACAGATTTCACACATGAAGTTTACCTCCTGGTACATAACATGCACCACACTTACGGAACTAATAACCATAAGGATTGACGTCTCTGGCAATCCCTAATCAAAGGAAATAATCCATCGAAGCACTTTGGCTTCATCGGTATTTCTGTTTCAGAACGAAAATGCCCTTCATTCCGTATTGACCGCGATTGTTCACACCATGGTGACGACGGCTTCTCCCCACGAGGGCGAAGACGATCGTGCCGCAGATGAGCTCCAAAGAAACAGACTGCGGGGCGCCTCCGCCAGCCCCGAGGCGGCGGTGACGCCGTCCGCGCGCGCGTGCTCCTCCCAGAGCTGCCCTCAAGAGGGCGCGCAAGGGCCGCACGCGCAGGAAGACCACTTGACGATCGTGCAAGCACCGCTCGACGCACTCGTAGACTTCGCCATCGGATTCGCCGTGCACAAGTACGCCCTCATCCACGGGGGCAGGTTCCCCATGGACGATATAGTAAGTATTTGGCATTTTAGGGTCGGTATTCGTAGACGTTGGGCCTGTTTTTAATTATTATCCGCTCCTGGGGGTAAGGGAGACATGTGGCGAGAATAACGAATTCCCTTCACCGTACCTAATGTTCAACCCCGAGCGTAGGAGTTGTTGGAGCGGACTGTATTCGGGTTAGGTACACACGGTTGAAACCCTGTCAAAGAGTTCAGGTTGTTTGGTGGGGTTAAAATAGGACACAGGTTCAGGCTCCTTCACACGTCACATAAATACCTTTAAATAGTAACAAAATTATTCCATTTAATTTGCATCCGTATTAACAATTTTTTAATACATTTTGAAACAATATACGAACATTACTCAACTTTAAGAGCTTCAGGTAAATACGGAGAAAACAAAACTGAGTAATGCTACAGAAGCACATTTACGTTCTTACGCTCAACTTCACACATTTACATTCTTAAGCTGGAAATATCGACTTTCAAATGAATGTGAGTAACAATGTATTCTTATTAAAATGTAACTAACACCTAATTGACATAAACATACAAAACTGTCGCCTTTTAATGTTTATATAGATCCGCATACAAAACGATAAATAGAGCAATTGCAGTAGTAGAAGTGAGACTGACATTGCAGTTTTAATGTCTTCAAAAATTAGGAGACAAAAATATGGAAGTGTTAAACAAATCAGGGGAAGAATAAAATATAGTTGTAGAATATTTTGCGACAGAAATTTTGGAACTAATTATGAATGATTTTTTAGAAAATAACCCTGAAGAGCGGCTTAAAGTTTTTTATGTGCATGTTTGTGCGTAATAGCAAAAAAAAGTAAAAAGTTTAGCTGAACTAAGTTCTAACCATTCAGAATCATCGTACCTGCAAGAATATTTACGTTGTTTATAACTTTGAAATTGCAAATATTATCTGTTCATATCCTCTATGGAGGTAACATACAAGGCCATTGGGGATTGGAATTTTTTGAACAGGAGTAAATATGTTATTAGCTACTACGATTCATTGGTATGTCCAATGCTAGAGACCATAAGAACTTATTTCAACAAAGCTGTGACAAATTTGCAACACATTAAAATACTTTAAAAACAGCACCGAACTTTAGAGCATTGGCGATGTCACATTCAACTAATCCCTACAAAGTATTTGAGTGACTGCAAACATGCGTTTGTGCGGATCCGTCACTCGCGGTTAAACCCTTTCCCATGCGTCAATCGAGACATACTATGAGGTGTCATTCGACGCGTCTCGTTCTGCTGGTGGGGAACTGATAAATTGTTTTCCGATCGTCCCACAAGATTAAGATATTCCCAAAAAACGTGTTTTGTTGCGATACTCTTATTCAATTTGAAGAACTTCTAGTGAATACGGAGAAAACCAAACTGTGTGTAATGCCAAAAAATGAAAGCACATTTAACTTACTACGTTCGACTTCTCACAGTTACGAACTTAAGCGTGCAAATACGAGTACCGATTTTCAAATGTTTCGTATTAAACTTAACACCTTATTCATATTAGCACCCAAAAAAGTATTTTTTTACTATTTATAGACAATTTAATAAGAATGAATTGTTATTCACATTCATTTGAAAGTCGGTATTTACACGCTTAAGAAAGTAAAAGTGAGAAGTCGAACGTAAGAACGTGAATGGGGGACCTAAGGAACGTATTCCGCAATGAGTACAAGAATTTCCGAGGCAGCGTGAGGAGGTGGAAGGGGCGTAGCTGTCGTGTCACGCATCTAGGGATAATTCCGGTTGTTGCCTTAGCGCGAACGCCGTGAGTGTCTGTACGAGGGCTCCATCGGGGACCTAAGGAACGTAAGGAGGCCTGCAAGGAGTTTTTGTATTTTTGGCGGCGTGGGAAGAGGTGCCCAGGGCTGTTTGTTTTCAGGGCAAGGGCCGGCTGCGCCTGCGCGAGGGCTCCATGGGGGACCTGAGGAACGTGTTCCGCAAGGCGCCTGTGACGCTGCGGCGCGCTCTGGTCGAGGGGCGGCCGGCGCTGTTGCTCTCTTTCAGCGGGGGCTTCCGCTTTGTGGACGTGCACTACCGCTACCAGTACTCCATCCCGCTCATCTCGCACTCCGGCTACGTGCAGGTAACCGCCACTGTACACTCTATGTAACACTCTTTTTTTAATAAGCGCAGGTGACTTTTATTGTTGAACGAAGGAGGGAAGAAAAGGCACGCTCTGGTGCTGTTTGGTTTGATCGGCGATGTATTAATTGATAACTATTAATTTATAAGTTGTATAAGTTTCTTTTTATCTAGCAACCATATTGTATTTATAATACTAACAGAGCACGGTGATTCTAGTAATAATGATCATTGGATGTCTCATTCTGCTTTAGACATTGCGACTTCTTTTCGTCTGTCTTAATTTATGTCATAATCATTTAAAGCACATTGAAACTGTATTTTGGTATTTTTTGGATGAGTCCAGATTATATTCAACTTCAAATAGAATGTGTATTTGACTGTCTTGCACGTGTGCATTTTTCTTAATTATAATGACACGTATTCAAACAGTAGCAGGCAAGAAGTACTAGATTCAATGAAATATTACAATAAAATTTAAAAGTGTGTATGTTATTATGTAAATAGTGACTGTGTTTTGTAAATGGCGCAAGTTTAGCATTAAATATTTGCATATAAATACTTAATGTGTTTAATAAACAGTGGGGGCTGGTGCGTATTCGCACATTCGAATGTACTCACACAAATTAATTCGGTGCAACGTCTCTTAAAGATCTCTTAACAAGAGGTGAATACAAGATCTCTCAGAGCGTTTCCGAAAGTTGGTATTTGAAAACGCGCCGCTCGGAAGCTGCCTTTGTCGTCCGCCGCCACTGCTCTTGGTGAAAGCCTCCCGGAGCCCCCTCGCGGAATGCGAACGAGGAAACGGCCTTGGGGGAAGGAGGGGCACTCGCTGGACGAAGCCATCTTTGCGCGTGCCTTGGCTCGCCAATATTTAAAATATTCGGCTATCACAAGTTTTTAAGAGAAGACTGACATTGAACGTAGGAAGTATGATATCTTTCCACTCTAATGAGCTCTCATCCCTTCCAAAATTGCAGTTCTTCGCTACCACGCGAAATGCGATCGCATGGCTGAGCAATGTTGCATTCATAAGCATGTTAATTGAAGATTATATGTACATTATCTTGTGTTTCAAAGAGAGTTCCAACGACAAATCCATTCAATTATTGACAAACCAAGTGCATTTTGAAAAACGTATCTAGTATACTACTTTTTAATGCATTTTGAAAAACCGAAGTTAAAGTGTTGTCGAATAAACTGCTTTGTCACACAGTGTAAACGACAGATTATCCAAATTGTTTTGAGTATTGCGTAGAGAAACTAATACTTCTAGCCTTAAAATTGTACAGCGAGCGTATAGAAAATACTAAAGCAAAAGTGCGAGTAAAATAAATCAATTTGAATCAATGTGTTCAATAGAACTCATGACATCCCTGAAAATACTGTTCTGGAACGAGCCGAGTAGACGCGTGCTGATCCGACGCTAGTAGTAAATATTTCGGAGGTTGTGTGTGTATGTTATTTAATGAAGCAATTGTTGTGCTTCACTATCACTTGAGTTTGACTGGATTTACGAGCAATACCTTATACACGCGGTTATCTCAGAGTAGAATTTTTAATTTGTTTAATGAAGCGATTCACTTACTCATTTAGGTAGGTTCTTTTACATTTATGAGCAATTCCCAAGCATGCATGTACAATATAGCTTATAATTACTTAGGTGTTTAGAGAAGCATGTGTTATGCTTTGATTTACTTAAACTATGTGATAAAAGTATCCGAACACGTCGCTGAAAATGACTTACCAGTTCATAGCGCCCTCCATCGGTAATGCTAGAATTCAATAAGATCTTGCCACACATTTAGCCTTCCAGTCTCGCAGGCATACTTTCAATCAGGTGCTAGAAGATTTCTTGGGGAATGGCAACCCATTCTTCACGGAATGCTGCACTGAGGAGAGGTATCGATGTAGGTCGGCGTTCCATAACATCCTAAAGGTGTTGGATAGGATTCAAGTCAGTCCATTGCAGGGATGTTATTGTCGTGTAGCCACTCCGCCACATGCCGTGCACTATGAACAGGTGCTCGATCGTGTTGAAAGATACAATCGCTATCACCGAATCGCTCAACAGTGGGAAGCAAGAAGGTGTTTAAAACATCAACACAGGCCTGTGCCGTGATAGTGCCACACAAAACAACAAGGGGGGAATCCCCCTCCATGGAAAACACGACCACACCACAACACCCTTTTGGACGCGTCCGGATACTTTGGATCACATAGTGTATTCGACTGAATTTAGAAACAATATTTCAGACACCCGTATATATCAGCTCCGAAATATTTAATATGTTATGCATTCACATACTCATTTGCATTCGATTGGATTTACGGGCATTACTTTAAGTACGCTTTTTTTTCGTCCCATCTACCATATACGGCAGTTAGGTGACCCATAGCGGGTTTTCTTGGGATGATGAATTATTCAGGTGGTTTCCCGTTACCTTCCCCGAAATGGTGATGATAATAGGGATAATAGGGGGTGAAAAGACGAACACAACACAACCATGCCCGAGGCGGGACACGAACCCGCGATCCTTCGGTCCGAGATCGCTACGGCACTACTGCCTTAGCGATCTCGGCCACCGGATCGGCAAGTACGCGTATACTTATTCTTAATTTGTTTAATGGACATAATGGAAAAATTATACATTCATTCATTGATTCGGATTAGAAATATTTCCCACTTGTATACTTTGAAGGACTGTTCGGATAAGCAGTTATCAATGGACGGCGCTTGCGTGTAAATCACCCACATCATTTGTCTCTTCCAAGGCATTGCTGCAGTATCTCGTCAGGTATTTGATTTATTACGCTTAACACGTTAATTTTATATTACTTCACCTCTACATGGGTTTACCATCATCTGCTGATCGGTAGGAATTTCAATAGATTGTGAATTATAATCTTACGCAGAGGTTACCAAAGGTGGGTCATAATGTCTGCAAGGGGGGCGCGTGCGAGTGTGAAAAATCGTATTGCATTTATTAATAAAATAGAAAATTTCAAAAATCAAGTATCTTAATTTCAAATTTATTGAATTAAAAACACACATGTGTAATGTCTTGTACTTTCAATCTTGATTAAATAAAGCATTCATTTTGACTTTTTTTCAAAATTTTAAAACTGCGAAAATAAATGTATTGTCTTTGTTTTAATTTTTGTAATACCCTAAACACAATTATTACACTTTCTTATTATTAAATAATGCAAACGAGTATATTATAACAATATCTACACCCATTTTAGAAGAATCCGCCTAAGAATTAGCCAGATTAACATCACATGTAATTCAGAGAAGTTTCCTTCCGCCGCGACAGCCGGTCAGCAACGCCACTCCGTAAAGTTTTTATATTTGTATTTGGCTTCCTTTAAGACATCATGGCTTCTCATGGCTCACAAGAATGAAAATATATAAAAAATAAATTGATAAAATACAAACTTCGGAACCACGGAACGTTCTCGATCACAGCTCGCCACCTTACCGCACAGAAGCAGGAAACACGCGCACCAGAACGCATCTGACATTCAAGACACTGTTTTCAAATAAACATAATACTTATTACACAAAAAGTAGATTCAACGTAATGTTTATAAAAAAGATTTTTTACAGAAGAGCAAATAGCACTGCATTTCCTAATTTCAATTATTTCTCGTGGGGAGCAGTTTTTTCGACGGACGAGGACATCACGAAAGGAAGCGTAGTAGTAATTTGCAAGTTAGCCAATTACAAACGAACGAATGAAGGAAGAAGAGTCAAATGGTCTGAAGGACACAATGACCACAGAACCTTCAGTTATGTTGCCAGCTAGCTGTCAAAACGGTCCTTTCTTATAAAAATCGCTCTATATAAAGGGCTCATGATTCCAAGGCTGGAGAGGGGGGAGTGCGGTGTGTTCTTTGAGACCCCATCTTCTAATGTATTGGAAGAGATTTCGTGACCCCACTATATACTAATGTATGCTGCCTACCAACCAAGGTAAATATCAGCTGAGTAACTTCGTTACAGAAACGTTTCCATCACGTGATATTTGGAATAGGGATATAATTCACCCCCACTCCCACCCCCACCCCCGAACATTCCCTAGATAACTGTAACATTTATTGAGTCATCCTGTGACAAGGTAAGGTGTAATTTTCTTTGCAAAATCTCTCCTTCTTATATATTGATATCTGGTTGCATATAAAATTCCCGATAATATAGTGACGCAAACATGTGCCTGAAGCTCATTGGGATACGATGCGCAGTAGCTCACCCATCTCTTTCCATCATGAGTTATCCCTATGAGTTTTCCTATTCGAGTAAAACTCTTGAGTGTGCGGATGAGCGGATGTGTGTAATTCCGTCACTCGCGGCTAGATCCCTTCCCGCGCACCAACCGAGACGTATGAAGCGTCTCAGTCACCTGATGGAGAACTGATAATTTGTTTTTAAATCCGGCCAGAAGATCTTAGAGATTATTCCAGGAATTAAACCAAAGACTCCTAAATCGATCTATGTTCGTGGTGTTGATTAAACACCAATATCCAAACGTATGTTTTGCAAAATACGCCATCATTTTCTTTTACGAGTGGGCAACACCGATCTTGACAAATTTCAGTGAACAATTGAATTACCGAGTAAATCATAGTGCAGATTGATTTCAATTTATATTCTAATATTTTTGAAAATAAATTTGCGAAGACCTACGAACAGTTTTGCCTTGAATTTTTTTAAACTTGAAGAATTTCAAGTGAATATGGAGAAAACACAACTGTCAGTAATGCTAGAGGATGAATGAACGTTCGATTTCTCACTTTTACCTTCTTACATAAGTGTGCAAATACCGATTATCAAATAAGTGTGATCAAGTTATTCACTTTAAACTTAACTAACATCTTCACATAAACATACAAAACAGTCGCATTTTAATGTTAATTTTGTATGCAACGGAAGATTTGCATACAAAGCGATTAATGAATTGCAATTGCAGAAGTAGAAATGAACAGAAATTATACTGAGTTTGTGAAGTTTTAATCTTTTCTAAATCTAGGGGAGAAAATTATGGAAGTGTTAAGCACATTCGGGTAAGAATCAATTGTAGATGTAAAAGTTGTTGCGACGGAATTTTCGGAATTAATTGGGAATGATC